TTCCGTTCGTTCCGTTCGTTCGTTCGTTCCGTTTGTTCGTTCCGTTCGTTCCGTTTGTTCCGTTCATTCCGTTTGTTCCGTTCGTTCCGTTTGTTCCGTTCATTCCGTTTGTTCCGTTCGTTCCGTTCGTTCGTTCCGTTCAGTTTTGGGGTCAGTCCTGTTTCAGACCTTTGTCTAAACCTGATCATGTGTAAAACTGCTGACCAATGAGGTTCACTGACACACGTGCACATCAACACGTGTACACACACATCAGCCCAAAGACAACAGTCAGACCAGGATCACAGACAGACACTGACACCTCCATCGTCATAAAACACTGACAATGACTGACAGACCGTCCACTGACAGACCGTCCACTGACAGACCGTCCACTGACAGGAGGTGTCTGTAACCTGAGCAGAACTGATGATGGTTCTGTCGTGGTAGACTCACTGGTGCCACACACACACACACACACACACACACACTGGACTGGTCCACATGAACAGAACCTTGGTGTTTTTGTCTAAAGCTGACAGTTTTTATCCTGACCTCATTGTCTGCTGGTGCACTTCTCCTTCTCTGTGGGTTTATTCATGAGTCTGGAAGCTGCTTCACATAAGAATGAAGTTACTAATGCGCAGTGAGGGATCATGGGTAATGTCAGTGGTATTTCTCTCCTCCCCCCTCTCTCCCTCCCTCTCTCTCCCTCCCTCTCTCTCCCTCCCTCTCTCCCACAGGACATTTCTCAGGTTCTTCATTTGTACAAAAAAACAAAACAAAACATAGAACATAAAGTTTTGGCAATGTCACAGCGCCCCCTGGAGCTGCCTTCAGCAAACACAGATGTTGACTCAGAGCAGGTGATGCGCCACCTGCAGTCTGTCTGTGGAATTGTTTTAGCAGTAGCAGTGACCTACTGTCTGTTTGTGAGAGTCGCCCCCTGGTGGCCGATTTGACTTTTCTTGTGAGACAGCAGAGTGTGTGTGTGTGTGTGTGTGTTCTACAGGAGGTGGTCATTTTAAAGCAGGTTAATGGGCTGCTAAATGTTAGCATCTGTTAGCAGCTAACATTTAGCAGCTAACATATAGCAGCTAACATTTAGCAGCTCCGTCTCTGTTTGTTCATGAAAACACAGCCTGATGTTTGAGCTTATTTAATGTCCACCTCCTCTCGCTCCTCCTGCTCCTCCTGCAGGAGTTGTGCTTAGACTGCAGACTTAGTCCTAAATGGTGGGAGGAGAACCTCCTGGTCCTCAGACCTGATTGGTTGGTTTCCTGTTCGTCTGCCAGCCTCAGAAGAAGATGTTTCTGTGGAGCGTGAAGGTTGGAGGAGGTGGAGAAAGAGGAGATGTCTCCCTCTACTCTCTGAGGTTTGAGTAACTGGAGTTAGTTTACATCGTTTGGCTGGTTCACTTCTACTCCCCCTCCTCCTCCCTCTCCTCCTCCCCCACCTCCTCCCCCTCCTC